CCACACCTAAAACCCCATCCGGACGCCTTCATGGCGTGGACACGCTGACCCCAGGCCCTCCTTTCTTTCTGTGCCCAGAGGCCTAAAGGAGAATCCAGGCCTCGGTCTGCCCGCTGCCTTCCTCCTCGCCTGTGCCCCACTTCCCCTCCTCTCTCCTCCAAACACATCCCCGTTCCTCCCCACCCTCCCGGTCCCCTGCTTGAGGGGATTCACAGTGCTGTCCCTGTGCTGGGCCCGGCCTTCCCGGCGCTTCCGTGCTGCAGCGGCTGCTGGGAATAATGGAGGTTGCTGTCTCTGTGTCTCCCTGCCTCACTGTTTACAATATGGCGACCTTCCTTTAAATTATATTTTTATTCTCAGCGCCATTTTGGCTGCATATGTGACTTCCAAACCCTTGCAGCTCTTCCTGAGTATCTCGATTGTGAAAATACCTTCCCTGCAGAAATCCGGGGCTCCGGACTTTTAAAATTGGCACGGCTTATTTCTTTCCCTCCTTTTTCCTTCCCTCCTGACTCTGTAGACACGCTTATCTCATCCGTGGGGAATGACTGCTGTGAATTTCGGGGTAGCCGGGCCCTCTTGCTTGGAGTTGTGCAGCTTGGTTGATAAAAGCAGATCTTTTTGCATGCAAATCTGGAGCTGGAGGTGCGCGCGGAGGCGGTTGCGACGCCGTTCAGTGGAGGCTGCAGCAGGGAGGGCTCTGGGGCCTCACCTCGGCCCTTCCCATGCACGCAGCACAAAGCCAGCCCTCAACTTTCCGCAGCGGAGTTTTCCTCCGTTCTGCACCAGGAGATGCAATGGGGGCTGCAGTGCCCGTTCTGCTTGCTCAACAGTTGACACAGGCGGAGGGATTGTGTTAAATTAGCACAGCCAGAGTGGATAATGGAGTGGAGGAGGGAGCGGGGCGAGTCAAACAGCTGGAGCTCGGGCTTACCGAGTATTCTTCCTTAGGGGAGATTTTTTAACCGCATTCCTTTCTCTCTTTCATGCTTTGGAGCTTTTTGTTTGCTACCCCGTTACAGCTGTCTATTTTTTTTACCTATTTTTTTTTCCCCTCTTTGCACGCTGGTTGTGCCGCGTTTCTGTGCTGATTGCAGCTCTCTGAACACTTATTAAACTGATTGCTGATACCGGGAAAGCTGAGTGTGCGGTCGCAGTTGTGCAGGGAGTGTCCCGTTAGCAGCACACAGCCAGGCCAGCCCAACAATGCTGTAGCGAGCAGCCATGACATCATCCCTCCTGCCCCGAGGAAGTGCTGCTGGTGGTTGGGCACATCCTCTGCATTTACTAGAATGACACTGACTTTTTTTTTTTTCCTCCGACCTTCTCCGCGGGCTTTAATTCAAGGGCTTTTTTCTTACACTAGATATAGTTGCTTTTAACTCGAGTGTTTGCTTGCAGATGTTGTTGAATGCACCCCCAGCCTTCTCTTGCAGAGGTTTCACGCTTGGGTTTTCAGATGGAAGGGCTGTGACTAATGCTGCAAAGTTTAATTGATTCCGAATCCTGGCTCATCCTAACTGTAAATGGGTCCACTCTGTGCACGGTGAAATCTGGCTATGATTCATGACTTAATTTGGCAAGATTCTTATAGCCAGTGGGAAATGGTCATGTAAATCAGCCATCTAGAGAGGTTTGGCTGTACTCAAGTTGGTTACAGGGTAATTACAAAAATTCTTTGGCTAACTAGTCACCCTTCAGGACAGAAGCAGAAGGTGCAGCTCTGGTTATTCCTTCTTGCTTTCATTGCTCCCTTCCTTGGGCTATCTCTGGGTGAGCACTCAGGAGCAGCAGAAGCCCCGGCCCTGCCGAGGCCTTGGAACAAACCAGGTTGTCTCAAAGCAGTGCTTGGCTTTTATATCCATGTTTTCTTCCCTTCACCTTCTACATCTTGCGTAAAGTAAACTTCCGTTCAGGATATAAACTCAGGCATAAAGGCAGCACTTGAAACTTCCTTTCTGCCTTTTTTTTTTTTTTAATTATTGTTTTTCTTTAAAGAATAGCAGCTGTAATGCAGTGCTTGCTTAAGTGGTTTTGAATAGCAGTTTAGCTATACTGGCTGAATTGTGTTGGCAGCTTAACTGTTCTTTTAATATTTATTGTAAGCTTTCGTGCTAGGTTGTATTTATTATCCATAAAGCAAAAAAAAAAAAAAAAAGAGGGCACTTAATTGGCCAAGGAATTTTAATCAGTCAATAAAAGGAGAGGTCAAGGTGTGGTCAGCTCAGAGCAGTTTCATTTCTGCCCACATAGAAACGATGCTCCATGGCACTGTGTGAACCTGCCTGCTCAAAATCCCCCGAACTTCCCAAGTCTGATAGCATCACACCTCCCTGATGGGAAACAACAAGCTGTGTTGGTGCACAGTGGGAATGGCTGCTCTCCTGGATGTGAAAGGGGCTGTCCTGGTTCAGCTGTTGGGGTTTCAGCTCTTCTCACAACACAGAAGAGCTGCTTTGGTGTAGAACTTCGGGTACTGGTGAACGGGTGCTGCAGATACAGGGCCTGGTGGGAGGGATATGGGGAAGTACAAAACCCCATCAGCACCTTTGGGTTAGTATCACAGGCAGGTGATTGTCTTCAGGTTTGAATTTCCAGAGTGCTTTTTCCTCTCCTTGAAAACAATATATGATTTTTTAGCTCCTAAGTCTGGCTTTGGTTGTGTTGTTTGCCTGGAATTTGCTACTTGGGTCATGGGGCAGTTTTCATTCTGATGTTGTCTTAACTCAGGCCTCTGTGTTCTGTCTTTACACATTTGGGAAGAAAAAAAAAAAGTTTTATTTTCCATTACTTCTGTTGTTCATCCCCATCTGTATCCTCCTCCTCCTCCCGGGTGTGTGATTGTTCAAGTTCCCCTTATTTTCTTACGCCTGTTTGCAAAGTGAGCGATGTTGCAAATTCATTACAGCGTCAGCAGAGGATTAGAAAGATCCCTGGGAGAGGAGAAGTTTAGTTAGCAACAGGGGGAGGGGAATAACAGCCCAGTGTTGTGCTTCTTTTTCGAGTCTCACAGTGTGGAGGTGCCCTCTTAGAGCTGCTCACCCAGCTCAGCATCTCTGTTCACATCGTGTGCTGCTGTGGAAGCATTGCTAGCGTGGCAGAGTGACCTGAGCTGCCCCAACCCCACCAGCTGCCCATCACAGTGAGCGACAGTGCCATGCAGTGATGCTGCCCAGCAGTGGGCTTCCCTCTGCTGCATCTGTGGCTCCTGTGGGAGAAATACGCCGCATCCCCACTGGGTCCTGCAAGCACTTTCTGCAGCACTTGCCTCTTTATGCTTATATTTGGAGCGTTTGGCTCTGTTTCCTCTCCACTTTGGCAGTCTTCTCCCGAGTGCTGTTGTCGAAGAGCTGGAGTAACAGAGCTGCAAAGAGAAGACAACGGAGCTCAGCTAGCCTGAGTCTTGCATATTTTCTGTGAGTCACATCAGTTAAACTCTTTGCACGTAGAATGGAAAAAAGTTGTGTTTAATTGTAGGACATTAGTAACTCTTTCCCTACCTTATTCAAGTCTAAAATGTCCTGCCTTATCTTGGCATTTGGTCTTGCTGTGATTTTGCATAAATATCCATTCTGTGTGAGGGGTGAGGAGGAAAGCATTAGCCTGGCTATTGTCTTTGCTATTCATGCCCCTCGGGTGGTGCTTTGGTCACCTCAGGCTTTCAGGTGAAGCTTTGAAAGGCTCAAAGCATCTGCAAGGAGCAGCAGGATGGCCAGAAAGCCGCTCTGCAGGCTGACTTACCCCTAGGAAAAGTGGTAAGCGGGGAAAGCCAACAGCTTATTGTGCATCTCTGCTTGTGGTATTTCAGTGCTGTTGGGGCCACTGTAGTCTAGATCCCAAAGCAGAAGGAAGCAGTTGCTCTGGCCTGGTTTCTCTGTGCAGAGGGTCACTGCGCATGTGCCTGCAGATGTGGTAACATGATCGGTCTTGGCAGTTCTCTGAAGCAGAGTTGTACCAATGAAATCTTTCGCTCTCCTTATTTTCGTCTTAAATCTCTCAGTGCAAAACCAGATAAGGTCAAGCTAAATGTTTGACCTGAAGCTGGGGGCACCAGGAAACCACTGATAATCAGAACTTCATGAACTAATCTTAATTTTTTTTGCGACCAGCGAATGACAATTCTTGCCTGCCTGCGCTTGTGTTAAACCGAGCGTGAGCACATTCTGCAGTGTGGGCAGGAGAGCAGCACTCACATCACGTCGTGGGTCACAGCAAGGCATGGGGATGCTCTCCATCTCAACAAGAGGGATCCTTCACTTATGCTTTGTCTTCAGGCACAGCCCAGCGTTATGTCAGACATCCATAATCCGAAGGGCATGGTCTGAGGCTGTTAATGAGGACAGTTCTCCACTGTGTTATCCCTTGGTTTGGAAGGTGCCACTTTTATGTTGACCGGAACTCATGGAGCTGAGAACTCTTTCTTTTTTTTTTTGTGCTGTTGTGGAGTTGGTGTTTGAGTTGTCCTGAAAAAGCCGTGCTGGTGGCAGTGGCTCATTGGGAAGCAGTGTGCGTGGCCTCGTTAGCTGCTCCTCCTGCTATGTCAGACCTGCAGGCATGACTCACGGGAACGTTTGAAAACATGGAAAGGTCTTCCCAGAGGAATTCCAGCTCCTCTAGGCATTTGCAAAGGAAATTCTTAATTGGATTAGATTCATAATGCTAATCTGCTAATGACTGTTTGTTATGGAGATCTTAGTGCTATCCTGTAAATATATTCACCTTAATTTAGCTCGCCTTGTGCCTTTTTATCACGCACAAGCTCAGTGCTGGTAAGATTATACAGCTGCCTGCAGATCTTACAGCTGGGAATGGGAGAAGGACCA